CCCCAAAACCCCAAAACCCCAAAACCCCGGGCAAAAATACTAAATCGAAATTTAAATTTAGGAAAATATACAAAATTTAAAATTTAATCAAAACTATGGAACAAGCCATCATTAATGACTATAATGATCCTGAAGATATTAAGAAATCAAAGAAATGGGAAAAGACTAAGAGAGGAAACATCACGACACAGATTAAGACAAGATCCAAGGTTCAAGGCAAGGAATCTGTACGGCCTACTGTTATTAATAGTGCTCTCATCTCTGAATACTTTAAAGAGTACAATAAAGAAAATAGAATCTTTGATAAAGATAAAACACCTTTATGGGATTTTACTCATCTCGCTTTATCATATAAAAATATCATTGATATTGATAACCTGAAGGGAATGGAGAAGCTAAGGAAGCTCCAAATTGATAATAACATCATTTACAAGATTCAGAATTTAGACCATTTGGTCAATCTTGAATGGTTAGACTTATCTTTTAACCAGATTGAGAAGATCGAAGGACTTAACTCCCTAACAAAACTCACTGATCTGTCTCTCTATAATAATCATATTGTGGAAGTAGGAGGTCTTGGAAAGCTTCTGGAGCTGAATGTTCTTTCTCTTGGTCAAAATAGAATTAAAAGCTATGAAAATGTTATCTCTTATCTCAGAGAAATTCCCAACAAGCTTGAAGTCTTGACACTTGAAGGAAACCCATGCATCAAGAAAGATCTCAAAGAAGAGTATCAACTCTATGCATATGCTTATCTTGATAAGCTCCAGTACCTGGACTATCAAATCATCAAGCAAGAGATTAGGAACACTGCATTGGAAAAGCACAGAGAAGATATTGATGAGCGTGACAATCAAAAGGAAGCTGACAAGAACGTTGTTGCTACTCCTTCTTTGATGTCAAAAGAGGATAGGCAACAACTCATAGAAGCTCATATCCTGATTGCGAATAATATTTTTAAACACAATCTTGCTGAAGATGAAATAATGCAAAAGTTTACAGTTCTACCAAATTACCAAGACATCATGCAGCAGATTGAAGATGAAGTAAGAGAAAAGATCGAAGAGTTCATTAAAGATGCTCTCAAGAGCCACCAAGAAAAGACAGAAAAGATTGCATACTGGACAGAGATACTTAAGGAAGGAGAAACCAAGGCTGAACTCAAATCTATTGACTTAATAAATGGATTCAAAGCGAAGCACAAGAAGGAGTATGGAGGCATGAACTGGGATCAATCAACAAACAAGCAACTCTTTGGTTATAGAGAATGGATGAATATTAATCTCGATGAACTTGAAGACAAGCTAATGCTTGTTGAAATGAAACTAGTTGAATCTCTTGGACTAGCAAATGCTGAGTTTAGTAAAGATGTTGATAATATCAACAACGAAATGGCTACAAAGATCACTAAGTTTACAGATAATGTACAAGATTTGAGCAATCAATTCCAGACTGATCTTAAAGATCATGCTTTCAAACTAAATGAAGAAGTTACTAAGGATGATGATAATCCTACTTACCAAGACATTAGCGATGATACTGAACTATTGCAGCTGATCTATGACAGAGACGCCCTAGCTCAATACTTCGAGCAGTGTAAAGAAAATCAGGATAACAAAATTAGTGAGAAAAACAACATTATGAGGAGTGATATCAACAATGACTGGAAGAATGTCAAGCAAAAGCTAACAGATGATCAACATGACAGGAATAGAAATATCATACTTGAGATTATAAATTTCAAAAAAGACAAAAAGAAGGAAGTAGAAGAACTTCTAGAAACATATTTGGAAGGATAATAAAATAAATGATTGCAATCTTCTTATATCTCCCAGGGGTTTTGGGGTTTTGGGGTTTTGGGGTTTTGGGG